AAAACGTGTCAGAAAATGGATGGATGGATAGTTTGGTTAGAGCCACAATGAAGGGCCCAAATGCTGCTCTTGGTAGTACTTGCACTAAAAAATAAAAACTGTTTAATAATCTGCATCTTCTCTCCCAGATATCGTCTGACAGCCCACGAGTACTCTGGTGATGCTGGCAATGCTCTAAGCTACAGCAAGCACTACAACCATGATGGCAGGCCTTTCAGCACCGCCGACAGGGACCACGATCGCTATGCCTCTGGAAACTGTGGGCAGTACTATGGTGCAGGCTGGTGGTTTGATGCCTGCTTGGCAGCAAACCTAAATGGCCGCTATTACCATGGGCGTTACACTGGTTTGACCAATGGGATCTACTGGGGTACATGGTACATCCTGACAGATGGAAGGACTGGTGAACGCTACTCCTTCAAGAGGGTGGAGATGAAGACGAGACCCAAAAACTTTGGGGGAACCAAATGAGGACTAAACACTCCAATTTGAGAAGGTTCACTGTATAAATAGGATACTTTGGATTGCCTTTGATTTTACAGATGACCTTTCAAAACAACTTTCTGCTAAAATTAACATGGATTTTAATAGATAGAATATAGAAAATATATATATAGACTTTCAACTTTATGTTTTGTCACTCAATTAAAAACAATTAAAAACCTCAACATGTGTCATTAGGAATTTGAGTATGGCAACTCAGCTGGAAGTGTCAGATGGCTGTGATATGGATAGAAAAATTGTTTTTCATTAGTACAACGTTTAGGCTTTGAAAAGAACCTTTTACCACATAAAATGTTTTGTTTTAAACCTTATCTTCCTGTTGCATGTATTTGCAACTGGATCGAAATGACTGTTTTACTTTATTCTTGCTCCTTTATGGTCAGATGTGGCTGAAATCACACATTCAATGCCATGTTGTAAGAAAGCAGCCAACTAAAAATGCAGACTGAGGTCAAGAGTAGTGTAATTAATTTGAAGGTTTTAATGAAAAATAAGTAATAAAACTTAAAGCATAACACCTGAATGAACCCTGCACGGCAAATCCCAAATGGCGAAAATAACAGTTTATGGTAAGAACTATAAAAACTACAGATGAAAACCAAAATGTTTACAATTTAATTAAAATGGTGATGTGGTATAAAGAGTGTAAAAAAATAGAATAAGCGAATAAGAAATTATCAAATGCTCTAATGTAAATGATGTTTGATATGATCATGAGACTGTAAGGTTATCATTATAAAACTGTATATTAGCTTTCTAAAGTCCATATATTTAATATTTTTAAACATACCAGAGGTGAAGGATCGAGAACATAATTTATGTCATTAATTCAATATAAACATGTATTATTATGTAACATTATACTACATTATACAATTAAGACTTCAAAGAGGGGTGTACAGAAATACTATTATTAGTATTTATATATAAATACCACAAAAATGACATATAAAGTATTAACTAATCTAAAGTTCCTTTAAACTTAACCAAAACAAGCACACAAGGATTAGATGAAAATAGTAAAAGGCATAATTTATCAACCTAGAAATATTGCAATAAAAAAAAACCCAGAAACATATAGTTGTTATAAATAAATTAAGTTATAAAAAATCGGTTCAGTAAAAAAAAATCTGATGAAAAAAACTAAAGAAAAGAAGTTCCCAACTTTGTTTAAAATGAAGGTAGTAACCGGAAAAACTAAAGGCTGGTCCTGGAAATTTAAAAAAAAGTAAGAGATTAAATAAAAAAAAAAAACTACTCCAATGACTTCACAAACTGCACAGTTATTACAAAGTGATAATAGGTTTAATAATGTTATTGAAACTCATTTATGAAGTTTGTTGTGCATCAGTAGAACCCGTCTAAAAGCTCAAATTTGTTTTTAAATGAAGTGTTGTCCAGTTCCCCCACCTCATCCATCTAATACCCCTCCATGTCCAGGTCTTGACACACTGATATTGGCCCTCGGGAGCTTCGCCCCATCATCTCAGAATCCTCCTTCCATTCACAAGCCTCAAAAAACACACTGACACACACTCGGCCTCACTTTAATATCTAGAGGCCTGCCGTTTCCTTCTTAACTGTGCTTCTCTAAGCCTTTTGTGTGTGTACAGCATTTTGCACACATAGAACCCCACCAAAGAACACCCCCAGATTCATCTCTCTCTCTCAACAGAAGATTTGAAAGATATGTTTGGCTCCATGGAGATAAATAGGCCCTATTGTACACATAATGGTGCGTTAATTATTGTTAAACATCCATAAGCTCCTTTTGCTCTGTTCTCTGTGTTACACTACAGAAACACACACCAGTACACACTGTCCCACACACACAGTGGTTAACTATAGGCAATCAAGATCAGTCACCCCTGACAGGCATAAGACGTATCAGTTTTCTGCTTTGATTTTGTTGTGTGTGAATCTTTTTTGTGCAGTGTTGTGTCACCAGATAATATACAGGTCTAATGTTTCACTATATCCTGTTCTGCCCCCTAGTGGCCACTGATGTCTCTGAAGAATTTGAGTCCAGCTTTTTCAATCAAGTCAGCTGATAAAACTAAGTATCAAATCAGATTGAAATAATTATTTATCTTTTTCTGTGATTCAGCTATTTGTTGTGGTAGATTACTTTCCCTTTAATAGCCCATGCCTATAATGAAGTGATTTAAGTCTTTGGTTATTACGCAGGCTATCCAGGTTTGAATCCATATTGTGTCAGGAAGGGAATCTAATGTAAAAATGCTGCCAAGCTAAAGACCTTAAGATCCACTTCTCTGAGTATTGAATGAGTAAACAATTATTTATTGGGGAGAAAATAAATAAAAAGAAACAAACCCTGCACTACATTGTTTACGTCAACCTCATTAACTCCCTCAAAACAATTTGACGTTATTGGTTGAGTGCAGTAACATGTATGTAGAGACACTATATTTCCCTTGGGATAAAGCATTTTTGTATAGAACTGTGTTTGATTAAAGCAATTTAAGTGATATGAAGCATATATCAAATTTATTTTTTCAATAAAATGTAAGTGGAAATTAACTATGAAGAATGTCTCGCAATCCTGAACTGTAGTACTTCTTTTCACCACTAGGAGCTCTATAATTGATGTTGTAGGTCAAAGGGCAAACAATGTTCACAGTTGCAACAGTTAGAGATGTATCAGTGAGGATATGTTAGATGGGAATATAAGTTTAGGTGATACATCAGCAGAAATTAGTGAAAACATGAAGAATATGTGCAGAAAACTGTTTGGAGATGTGACAGCACAGAAGAGGCGGTAGGAAGACACGGGCCAGGTGGCTTTCAGTGGAAAAAAAATTTTCACTCTTCAATGACCTGCTCTTGCTCTGATAAGGGAGCATATGACAGCTGTCAGGGCCAAGGATGGGGAGGAAAACCAGGGTGTGGGGAGGAAGCAGGACCCAGTGAGGTTTGAAAGGTGTCTAAGTGTAATGGGCCGTTAGGGCCTCCCCTTCCCTGACCACAGGACCACCGAGAGAGACAGCGTGTGCCTGCTTTTAATACTGATCCTGCAGAAAACCAGAGCAAGGCAGCGTTCCGTTTGAAACCGGAATTCAGAAGAACAAGTGTATCCTGATGTGGTGAGGAGCTGGGAGGGGAGGAGGGTGAGAGCAGGGGTGAAGACACAGAAGGCGCCATGTGGCAGGCCTCAGTCCAGGTCTTGTCTGAATATAAATGTTAAAATGAAGGATCTGCAGGAGAGGGGAGGAGCCAGTGGCTATGCTGTGGCTAAAGCAACAAATTCATTTCTAATGATCAGTAATGTTTACATTATTAACACTAACTGTAAGGAAGATGAACGGTCTGAGATAGCAGAGAGGTTCACGACTTTATAGGGGTAATTAATGGTGTGCAACTTCCAGCTTTTTATATACACTCAGTCAATTTTAACTCCTTTAATTGTTCACATATCTTATATGTTGCTTCCTAACTGTCTGACTATAATCCAACTTAGGCAGCTCCAAACTGGTATTTAAATATTCAGTAATTATTTTTTCATGGCTTTTCCCAGCTCCAGGTCTGATCAAGTGAGCTATCTTGTCTTTATATTCAATTACAAGAACTTTGAAACTAATTACCAACTATTTGGTGTCAGGCGGTTGTGGAAAATAATAAATTTGCCATTTGAGGAAAATAATTTCCCGGAAGCATCGTCATAAAAATTGCCTCAGTGAGATTAGAAGCTGAAAACTCACATCATCTTGAAAAAAATATTGATATCTGTTCCACTTTTTCACAATCTTTAATTTCATAAAAACACATTTCTATGTATTTTATTTTAGTTTATGTGCCACTCATGACTTAAATAATAATAAACTCTCTAAAGTGATTAATAAAAAGTTTAGAGTGTCTTACCTTTGATCATTATATATCATGCTACAGAGAATAAAGTCAAGCCTTGCTAAAGGAAATATATGAAAACACATAAGCCTATATAAAAACTGGACATTTTTCCCCTATTCCCCATTTGCCAAGAAGTTTGCAACAAACACTAAATATGTTCACATTTGACACTGCTCCCCTGTTTGAAATATAAACTTGAAAAAAAAAGGAGTGAGAGGCTAACTATGCCTGTAAGCGGAATTCTCATGGCATCTGGGAGTTCAATAACAACCATCCATTGTTCAAGTCCAATCCACACAAGGTCAGCCAATCACATTGCCGTATTATGGTTTAAGTTGGAACATAAGGCTTGAGACAAAAGCTTCTGAGCTCACAGCCAAACCAAAATAAACATGGCAGCACAGGAGGACTTATGCATAGTTGCTGATATCACATCTGTTTTGACAGACTCCACCATTAAATACTGTATTTGAAAGAGGAACAACAACAGCATAAAAGCATAAGTTGCTGTGGTTTCTCATGTCGGCTATTGCTGTATAATTTGTTAACATGATTGGCTAAAACCAAACTTTGGTAGGTGGGCAAGAGGTGGCATTTCCACTGCACATTCCTCCTTTCCCTGAAAAGATTTGATCAGGGCAGTCCCAGATTATAATTTGTACAACCAAACCTGAGTGTCGGACATTATCAATATGGCATACCAGGTTAGTAAGAATGAAGATTATTGTTCCAAAAAAATTATGGAAATGTTGCCAAAGACGTGGGGGAGAATGTTTTAAAGTATGACCAAAAACTCACGGTCCCAAAAGATTTGTTTAGTACCAGAACAGCAGTTCACATATTCAAAGGCACACCACATCCACACTGAAACATAGTGGTGGCTGTATGATGCCCTGGGATTACCCTTCTTCATATGGGGCTTTCTATTTTATCAATGAAATTCAACAGTTATGGATAATTGCACACAGTAGTAAGTTTTGATCTAGAATTCCTCAAATGTCTGTTAGAAAGCCTAGAAAGATTCAATATGTATGCATTCAATATAACCAAATCAACAAATTAAGAGAGAAAATGTAAATTTAACAAATCCAAATCAGATTTAACAGAATATAGTAACAGTAACAGTGTGCCCTGTCTCTCGCCCGTAGACAGCTGGAGATAGGCACCAGCACCCCTCGCAAACCCAGCTGGGGTAAAGGATGATGGAAAATGGATGGATAGTGACAGTCATCTGCATATGTCTGCGGCAGGGGTTGTCTTCACAACCAGAGTTGATGGGAAAATAAGTATGGTGACCATCCATCCATCCATTATCTGAGTGGGGTCGCGAGGGGTGCTGATGCCTATCTCCAGCAGTCAATGGGCGAGAGGAGGGGTACACCCTGGACAGGTCGCCAGTCCATCGCAGGGCAACAAAAAGACAAACAACCATTTAGCACACACACACCTAAGGACAATTTAGAGAAGCCAATTAACCTAACAGTCATTTTTTTGGACTGTGGGAGGAAGCTGGAGTACCCGGGGAGAACCCACACATGCTCAGGGAGAACATGCAAACTCGATGCAGAAAAACCCAGGGCTGGGAATCAAACCCAGAACCTTCTTGCTGCAAGGCAGCAGTGCTACCCACTGCACCACTGCGCAGCCCAAACTTTGACCAGCAAACACTAAAAGATCAAATTAAATGAGAGTGCGTCTTAAATCATTAGTTTGATGGTATCCTCATTCCATGTTAGTTTTTTAGTTGAATCAAACCTGAAAATACCAAATATAATTTTATAAAAGGATTATTATCTAATATATTTTACCAATAAAACTAT